TATATAAGATATTTGTTATTATTGCTATTGCTTGAGAAAAGGATAAAATAACATTAATATTTTCGGTCTCATTAGTCTCGATGGTCGTCTTCTCGTCCTCGGCCTCAACCTTACAATTTTTACTAGCTTGAGCATGCTGTCGAAATTCAGCCGAAATGTTTACCAATATTCCATTATAACAGTTCATACAAATAATATCACCTATTTGAACATAACTTGGCAAAGTATTGTTAGCTTGACTTTTGGTAAAAACATTTTCAGTTACAATAGTAATAACACATGGTCCAACAATAGGCATATTTCACTTCTAAGTAAAGTATCTCAAGAATTTTGATTATTTTTTGATTATTTTACAAGGTGAGTTTTAGTGCTCTTTTGAAATTAAAAATAATTTTTTTTTTTTTACTTTTACTAATAATAACACAATATTCTGAAAAGGTACTCTAAACTGTATAAATACGGCCAATCACGTGAAAATCCTTCTATGAAACGGTGACTTAGATGCTACATGAAATCTGATTAGCCAATTATCCCATATGATTTTGAGAAACCATGATAATGATAGGAGAGTTCTATAAATGCCCTAGAACACAATTTTTATAATATATCATAGGAAGTATCTTTGGCTAATGATCTGAAAATATATTAGCTGTCAAGTGACTTGAATCTAATTTAACTGAATCGTCTAATCTGCTGTATATGCATGTAAATATATATATATACAGCATATGCACAGCATCTTCGCCAAATCAAATAAAAAGAAATTGGATATTATTATAATATACTTGATACAAACTGCTATAAATTACTAAAAATGCTATAAATCGGTAAATTCACTATAAACTATTTATAATCGTAAAATGGTTAAAACTAACTACTATTCTGGTTTAAATCCTGTAGTGCTGCAGGTGTTAAACAATCTACAATAAAGATATAGCAACGAAACATCAGAAATGTGGTGTTCTCATGTTCGTTATCCATTTAAAACACTTCTGAAAAATAATCTGAAATACTTTTCCAAGAATGGATTTATCCAGATGATTAAAAAAATCATAAAGATGAGGGATTTAAAGCTGAGATGCGTTCATTATTTATTACCCTGTATGTGATTTCTTAGTAAAATATTCGCGAAAATATCATTGAATATGCAAATATTCACCTAAACAAATGCATTGCTAAAACAGTCAAAAGGCATAATACACCTATACAAAAGAATACAAAAAAAGGAGGAATATCAAGCTGAAAGAGAGTATCATCGCTCAGTTCTGATGAGATTAATAAGATATATCAAACATATTGGATTATGTACAGTAAAGGCTTGGTTCATTATATTTATGATGATTTACATAAAGGTAGGAAAAGGATTGTAAATCTTTAATTAATAGAGCAAAAGTTATCCAACAGGCTTGGAGAACTTGCAAGTTAAGATCTGAAACATGGGCAAAACGAGTTTGGAATATGGTTTGGAATATGGTAAGAAATGATCGAAATGATCGTATTCCTGATGAGAAAAAGTTTCTAAGTATAACTCCTTGTAAAATAAGAGTTCCTGATGATTAATATATAGACTATATATGGGATCCCGAATCTTTATATTATATAAATATTATACTCCAAAAAGCTGGCAGAAAAAAAGAGAAAACAGTAATGAGAATGATTAAATAATGTAGCATACATAGTTGTTTTATAGAATTACATCTGCTAGGCTATAGAATCGTTAAATATCACGCTATTGACCCGCCTATATTGCCTATATTTCTCAAATCTTTTCCTCTTTTAGTGGCTCAGACTTTTTGGTAACCACTCTACTGGTATTCTTCCAAGGACCTAAGCAAAAGTGCCACTTCCCAAAGCAAATAGCACATATGAATGGCTTATGCTTGTCACATGACAAATAGCTTGATTTTCTGTTCATGTAGTGAACCATCACTTCTTTGATGAATTCTTTGACTGCTTCTGTTGAATAATAGCCTCCTGCCTCACACATTGTACAAGAAGGAATTTTATGCAAACATTGAAACTTACTAGTATCTGCTGAACTTTTAGATTGACTGCTTTGTGAAGCACCTAAATGGCTAGTCTTTTGTTTAGCTTGCTTAAAGAAGGCAGATACATTTTCGATTTTATATAAGGCTTTTTTTCGTATATATATAGAATCTGTTACTATTCTTACTACTTTATTAGGGCCAAATCTTCAGAGCATCTCTAGTAAATTTATATGAGCATAAGCTAACATTGAGACTCACAAATGTGTGTACTGAGGCTGATGCTCCTCGTAATATATCCAAGTAGACATTTATCACTACTTGCATATATTCCCTCTTTAATGCAATCCTGAATTAAGAAGTCAAGTTCTTCTTCGTCTATTACAACCCGGTGAATAAGACGTTTTTCTTCAACTTTATTTCCTTGTGTGAACTTTCCTATGATTGCATAACTGATATCCCGATTTTACCTGCAAGATAACATTTTTTAAAATAAGTAATTAGGCAACCATACCTTTATCTGCTTAGTAAGAGAAATAATAGCTTCGCCTATTATTATACTTTTCAGGATAACTGCTTTGAGAAGATATTGTAGAAGTACAATAGATGTCCAACCTTTTGTCTTCCCACATCCTTTACCACTTCGACAAGCAAAATGTTTTCCATACCAGACAGGAATTGTTGAATGGATATTAGAAACAAATTTAAAGGATCTTACCTGCACAAATCCTGTATTGTCATCTTATGGCAATTCTCATTCACTGCTACTCGGATAAGATGATGCGTTGGATGCCCAAACCTCTTAAACCATGGTGAACACTCTTCTTGACCACGCATACTTGCCAGATAGCATTCCTTCATGTCTATACATACAACATCTCTGACCTGATAATTAGGTGTATTCCAGTATCCTCCATGCCCATGTTCGACACAAGATTGCTTTATTTTTTCAAGCATACCGGACATTTGCATAATTGGCCGTTACACAATAAATGTGTAATGTAACTATTAATATAGTTTAAAGTAGTACCGTATATTGCGGACCATAGTACCCCAGGTATCTTGCAACTTTCGGATGATTAACCTTGTACTATCAAGTCTATAACTTTTATAAATACAGAAATAGAATGTGTTAAAGACTTGTATAACTATCAGAAAATTGTTTAATGCATAATTTCTGGTTAAAATTAGATTTCTAAATAATAAAAACAATAGAAAAGGTAACTTTTTTTCGGGTAAAAAAAGGGGGATACAATACATGGAGGGATACTATGGCCCGTAATATATGGTATATTGGCGTCAGATTTTTGATAATTGTTTTATGTAATGATAAAAAAAACTACGATACTATTATCGTAGACGTCATTTACAACATATTAACGAAAATAATCCCGCTAATCACATTTTAAAATAAGCAATTCCGAATATTATAATGGAAATTTCAAAGCAGTATTTGCAGAAGAAACTTATTGGACCGTGTGTTATATGTGGAGTAGAAGGAACCGAATTTAAGTTTCGTAGATTTACAGAAGATGCTAAACTCAAAGCCTTACAATATAAAACTTTAGATACTACCTATTATCAAAGCTAAAGATGATTAGTTTACAAATCCTATTCACCTTCTTCAATATGATAATCTTTGAAAATATCAGGATATATGCACATTGTACGTCAATTGAAAAATACATACTTACGACTTTGCTATTCTGTTTGCCAAAAATACTTTTTCACCCTCACATTTTTGACTAATTATAAGCGATTAATGCATTCTACTACCTGATGACAACCTAAAAAATAACAAGATTTCGATGATTTCTCTTTTTTCCCATCTCAACAAATAAGATCATATTGCGAAATGGAGTTCAACTTGAGGGTTTGTAATTCAGATGGGGAATAACAGTCAGTGTGCATGTTCTCTGATAGTCTTGTGAACCATATTTTATTAAGAGATCTGCAAGCTGCATATTATAGTAAAATATATGAAAATATATAGAAAACTGCTAACTTTCCGATCATATGTAACAAAATATTACATCATATTATGTGAAATAAAGTTGTTGGGCTTATAATTTGAAGTATGTTAATGCTATTTCCATTCGTTTGGACTTAATAGTTTTTCTCATTTAAAAGAATCTTAGTGTTAAAGTTGGCCTAAATTTCATATTATTGATATGGAATTTTATATAATGGACGAAGAAAAAAGTCTTTTATATTCTAGAGGTCAAAATATATATTCAGAAAACTCTGAAGACGACTTTAAAGAAGACTCTGACAAAGAATCTAACACAATTAATGAACTTTCTGAATTAGAAATATTTGAATTTAATGAAAATAATTATATTAATATGTGAAGGGTACTTGAACAAAAAGGTGTAGACTATTTAAGTGATGAAAATGATGAAGATTTTGATGTATATAAATCAGATTAAGAAAACTAAGAAGTTCTTCTACCTCCATTATTACCTGTTAAAAAAACATATGACCCGTATGTAAACTTAATCCTACTATACGTATAAATTTTTTGCCATGTATTTTAGTTGATTACATAGATGATAAATTGCAAACTTGTGGTCAAACTGCAAATGTTAGAAATATATGTCAGTTAGTTTAAACCTGGCAAATATATAAAAATGCAGTATTAGAGTAGGACCCTGAACTATACTAATATAACTCACATTTGAGTTTGCGTAGAGTTTATATGTAAACTTTGCAAAAAGTTGCTTATTTTTACAAATTTACTTATCCTACATACCCCATTATCTCAATTACCAGTGATTCATATTTAATGACATTTATACCATTGGATTCGTCTAACCGAGAGAAATCTAATGGTAGTAATTGCATCTTTCTAGCATTAATATTGACCGAGTTATACCATACAATATAATTTTAATTACATGTTCGTACTACATTTGTGAGTATAGTTCGGGGTCCTATTAGAGTATCAATCAAAAGGAATACCGTTGGGTGTGTGTATGTAATATTTTAATTATGATCATAAAATCATAATGCATATACAAAACAATTGCGAAATCCTGATCAAAGTGAAATTAGCCACTGACATTGCTTATTATATTTCAAAAATATTCATATTTTTATTTGTGGATATGGAAAATATAGGAAAAAAACATTCAAATTCCACGTATTGGCCTTTATACATGCAATGCAATACATGAATTCCAAGGTATCTCCCAACGAATTTTAATGATGTCTTAACAATTCGATATATTTGTTATAAATGCTATGAATCTTATGGTGGCCATTTGAATCATCGATCTGGTTCTGACAATTGAAAAATCACTTGTGAACAATGTGGATGGCATAAAGAAGATACATCCAAAGCTTAAAATTATTGACTTAATGGCTTATATATGTAGCAAATACCAAAACAGAAGAAAAAAAGGAAATAATTCTTTCTTCTATGTTGGTCCCTACTTTAAAATATCTACATATTTCATCTGAAATAAATTTAAAATGTGAATATTATAACTCTAAAATAACATACACTATAAAAATTCAAATAAAAATGATTCAACTATATCTTTAATTGAAATTTTACCTAAATTGCTCAGTTACTTTTTTTTGAAATTATTATTAAATAAGAATCGTATAATGAATATTATAAATCCACAATTAGAATGGATGGATGATAAATAAAAAGAAGTTGGAAAAAATTTAGGAAATAAAATATGGAATTTACGCAAAATAATTACAAAAAGAAAGTCAGAAATACAATTACCAATTTCTCTCTATACATATCATGAAAGTTTTTCAAAATTCCTAACAAGTTTTTTTGATGGGATTATTAGTGAACTATTTAAAAAAAAATTAATAAATGTAAATAAAAAGTGCAAACAGGATGAGAAATCTCTAAAACAATTAGATGTTGAACATACTACCAAATGTGTAACATTTATCATTTCGCTCATTATGAGTATAGCATTTCCTTATCTTAGTGTTTGGTTTACCCAAGTAATGGCTAGTATATGGGTTGTGAGCTAGGAAAATGAGGTTCTAGGACATTTTAACCAAAGTTAAAATTTTTACTTTATATTAATGTTGGATACATTAGCTTTAATTAGTTAAATTTTTAT